AAAAAAAAAAAAAAAAAGAAAGAAAAATGAATATTAAAGCTAAAAAAAACAACAGAGATGGTGAGCATGCCGTGCACTTTGTTCTGAAGAGAAAGATTCACCGGGGAAAATCTTCCTATGAGGAAAATATTTACTGAGGCAAGTAGTGACAGTGTAATATTGTCACTCTTCTACTTATAAATGATAGATTATCCCAATCAATTTGTAAATTTCCCCTTTCTCATTAATAATTTTTATAATGATTACATGGTAAAATAATATTTTGGACAGGTTGGGCTAGAGAAAATATACTATTAAAATTAATTTCCCCAGTTTCTTTTCTACTTTTTAAAATTTGGCTACTAGGAAATTTAAAATTACATATATGGTTCGCATTGTTTCTGTAGAAATGGATTATGTACTTTACACTCTTGGTACATCTCAGTTCAAACCAGCCACGTTAAAAGTACTCAGTAGCCACACGTGACTAAGGGTCACAAGATTCCACAGCACAGGTCTGGAGCTAAAGAAGTTCTGCCCTATTAAGAATAAATGAAGGCTTAATGTAAGTTGTTATTGAGAAAAACTTGAGTAACACCAACAGAATAACTGGGATTGATTTCTTTTTTCAAGGGGAAGAGACGTTTCACTTTGAGATGAAACTGGTGGCTGGGTGCAGTGGCTCACACCTATAATTCTAGCACATTGGGAGGCCGAGCTGGGTGGATCGCTTGAGGTCAAGAGTTCAAGACCAGCCTGGCCAACATGATGAAACTCTGTCTCTACTAAAAATGCAAGAAATTAGCCAGGTGTGGTGGCACCTGCCTGTAATCCCAGCTACTTGGGAGGCTGAGGCAGGAGAATTGCTTGTTCCCGTAAAACAGAGGTTGCAGTGAGATCATGCCGCTGCATTCCAGCCTGGCCAACAGAGCAAGACTCCATCAAAAAAAAAAAAAAAAAGAAAGAAACTGGCATCCTGCCCCTCCCTTTAGTCAATGAAGAGCCTCCTCCTTTATCCACCAAAAGACACAGACACACACATACACAGAGTTCCTTCTCTCCTCTTAATCTCCAGCAAGCACCTGGACTTCCTGCCTCCCTGTAATTTAAAATATTATTTTATTCAGACATCTTTTAAATTCTTATTTCTTTGGAAAATGCTATGAAATATTCTAAGCATCTAAGCCAGCATATAGAAAGAGTTCTATATACTGTTTAAATTGAGATATAATTCACATACCATAGTAGTTATTCATTTGAAGTATACAATTGAGTGGTTTTTAGCAGCGTATTCACAGAGTTGTGCAGCCAGCACCACCTGATTCCTGAGCATTTTCATCACCACCACTAACTGCTTGTCATCCCCTCTACGACCTAGACAGTCACCTGTTTCTCTTTCTGGATTTGCCTACTCTGGACATTTCATATAAATGAAATTATACAATATGTGGCCTTTTGAGCCTGATTCTTTCACTGATTATAATGTTCCCGAGATTCATCCATGTTGTAACATGAATCAGTATTTTACTCATTTTCATGGCTGAATAATATTCCATTGTATGGATATACCCTATTTTTTAATCCATGTATTGGTTTGTGGGCATTCATATGTTTTATTTGTTTTACTTTTTGACTGTTCTAAATATTTGGCTGTAAACATTCACGTACAGGTTTTTATGTGAGCGCATTTTCATTTCTCTCGGATAAATACCAACAGTAGAATTGAAACTGTTTTCCCACAGTGACCACCCCATTTTACTTTCCCAACAATGCCAACATTCATTATTATCTGCCTTTTTGATTATAGCCAAAGGTATCTCATTGTGGTTTTGATTCGCATTTCCCTAATAACTAATGGTATTGAGTATTTTTTGATGTGCTTGTTGGACTTTTTTTCTTTTTTATAGATGTCTTCAGATCTTTTGCTCATTGTTTAATTGGGTTATTTGAAGCATAAGAGTTTTAAATTTTTTGAAGTTCAATTTATTTTTTCCATTTGTTTCATGTGCTTTTGTTGTCATATCTAAGAAACTTTTATAACCAGAGGTCCTGAAGACTTAAACATATGTTTTCTTCTAAGAGTTTTATAGCTTTGGCTCTTACATTTAGATCTGTGATCATTTGTGAGTTTCTTTTTCTATGTGGTAAGGATCTAACTTTATTCTTTTTTTTTTTATTATTTTTTATTTTAAGACAAGTTCTTGCTCTGTCTCTGTCACCCAGGCTGGAGTGCAGTGCAGTGGCATGATCTCGGCTCACTATAGCCTCAACCTCCCGGGCTCAGGCAATCCTCCCACCTCAGCCTCCCATATAACTGGGACTATAGGCGGGTGCCACTACGCCTGGCTACTTTTTGTATTTTTTGTAGAAATGGGGTTTTGCTGTTACCCAAGCTGGTCTTGAACTCCTGAGCTGAAGCAATCTACCTGCCTTGGCCTCCCAAAGTGCTGGGACTATAGGCATAAGCCAGTGTTCCAACTTTATTCTTTTTTGCATGTGAATATTCAGTTGTCTCACTATCATTTCATAATAAAACTAATTTTTTTCCCATTGAATTATCTTGTATAAATTTTACCTCAAAGCATGTCTTAAAAGGCTGTCTTCTAAACACAGGCTAATTGGGGAAAGAGATCTCTCTAGAAATAAGTCTTATATTCAGCCTTCTATTTACTCTGAACAAATAAGGCTTTTAGAATTAGCATGCATTCTAGTTATAAACCCTTTGGAAATATCATTTCCTTTCTAGGTTATTAAAACTTTAATAACAATTTAGATTTCTTCCTGACTAAAATAATCTCAATAGTATTGATACTTTAGCATAAGTCAAATAATGAAAAATAGATTGAAAAACAAAAAGCACATTTCCAGGACTCTTTGCCATGGACACTGCTGAATGGACCAGAATCACATAGGTTCCCTGTCTTACTTTGACTTGTCATTATTGGAACTTTTAGGCCTTCAGAGCCTCAAACTAGAAACTAATCACAATGTCATTTCTGTTATCTTGTTGTTCAGGAGGAAAAACTTTACACTCAAATAAATCCTGCTTTCTTTGCAGTCTGATAGCCACTACTCGAGCCACTCCAGTAGCAATACTCTCTCCAGCAATGCGTCGAGTGCCCATAGTGATGAGAAGTGGTACGATGGGGACCGCACGGAATCCGAACTCAACAGCTATAACTATCTGCAAGGCACCTCTGCTGACAGTGGCATTGACACCACCTCTTATGGCCCCAGCCACGGCAGCACAGCCTCCCTGGGGGCTGCCACATCGTCACCTCGCTCAGGGCCAGGCAAGGAGAAAGTGCCACCCCTGTGGCACAGCTCCAGTGAAGTAATCTCCATGGCAGATCGGACTTTGGAGACAGAGAGCCACGGCCTAGACCGGAAAACAGAGTCTTCCCTGAGCTTAGACATACACAGCAAGAGCCAAGCTGGCTCGAGCCCTCTGACAAGGGAGAACAGCACCTTCAGTATAAATGATGCTGCTTCCCACACAAGGTAACCGCCCTCCCCACTGTCTCTCTGATGCTCAGCCGAGACCTAAGCCCAGTTTCCTAGCCTTATCCCTCTTTACTTTGCTCAGTAGTATATAAGGAAAGGAGGTTTTTCTGCAGTGACAGTTATTTTTATATGTTTAATGCCTTTTATTTGCCTTCAAAATACTTTAATCCTGCCATTTTAGTGCATTATTTTAAACCGATAAAATTTTGCAGATTTATTCTTTTTAAAGTTGGATTTGATTTTTTTTTTTTAATTTTCCTGGCTACCACAATTTGAGAGGAAATTTGTAATTTTATAATGTTGGCTTTTGGTGACTGATGGAGAATATATACTGGGACAAGCTTTGAAGACTATGTTTTTAAAATATTGACCATAGTTTTAAAAGAAAGGGGTCTTTTCTGAGTAACAGAGTATTGTTTCCATACAAAAGCATGTCCTTTACATGCCTTTCTATTTGAGAACCTCACTTACCTGATATTTGCATGGTAACTTTTTTTCAGTAATTGGCTCCTGACAGCATGTGTTGAGAGTGGGGGATGTCCAACAGAAACATGTAGCTAAAACTAGACACATGTTTCAAAATAGGAAAGTACACATTCCTTTGTATCCTTGGAGATCACATCTCTAGATAAAATAAATACCATTTGTCATTTCCTCTTGATTCGAGCCTAAAATCCCAAATGTGACAAGATTCTTCCATATGAAAAGGAAGCATTCCATCACTGTCTTTTTAGGCCTGTTAAACTCTGTGTAGTTTCTCCTTTTACCTTTGATTGCTGTCAGTCATTGATCAATGTGTGAGAGCATCTAACCTTGCTGTCTTCTGCGTCTGTTATGATTTGACCTCAAGAAAAATAGTAGAGGCTGGGCGTGGTGGCTCATGCCTGTAATCCCAACACTTTGGGAGGCTGAGGCAGGCGGATCACTTGAGGTCAGGAGTTCGAGACCAGCTTAGCCAACATGGTGAAACCCCATCTCTACTAAAAGTATAGAAATTAGCCGGATATGACATCGGTAATCCCAGCTACTCGGGAGGCTGAGGCAGAAGAATCGCTTGAACCCAAGAGGCAGAGGTTGCAGTGAGCCAAGATCACACCACTGCACTCTAGCCTGGGTGACAGAGTGAAACTCTGTCTCAAAAAAAGAAAAATAATAGAGAGGCTTAATTTAGTTTTTATTTTTCAAATGGAAATCCAGGCACATAATCTGTCAGTAAGCCCCTGTAACCTTAAGGAGAGAGGACATCCTCTACTTAATTTAGGTTCCTTTCACTTGCCCAGCTAAGTATTCCATTTTCTCATGGACTCACTGTTGTTACTGATGATTGAGCTTCCCTTCATTTAAAGTTTTAGGCCCTATGGTATGAAGCCTTCCACGAGTTTTGTTTCTGTTTACTGCTACCACATTGCAGATTTCAAAATGATGGTGATAGGTCTGGAAACTCCATGGCCCCCAAGCAAAATGAAATTGGGAAAGTATGGCCGGGCGCGGTGGCTCAAGCCTGTAATCCCAGCACTTTGGGAGGCCGAGGCGGGTGGATCACGAGGTCAAGAGATCGAGACCATCCTGGTCAACATGGTGAAACC